CATGCACAGTGCAGTGATCACGTTGGGTGTTAACTTAGGCTTCAATCAAGTGACATGATACAACACTGGACAAGGCTGCCAGAAACACCTTGATCTTTTACATACACATTTTACATATATTTATTTTATATGCCTTTATTACATCTGTACTTTAAAAATCAGACAGCTAGCATGCTTGGAGACAAGGAATAAATAAAAGCAGTTTATTAATGGGAGAATGCCCTTCAGAGCTTTACTTCTATCCATTGCATTCTTTGTATATACAATTTTAAACATAGTCTTTACCACGAATTATTGGTATCCTTCCTCAAAACTGAAAACCGTCCATTTTAGTCTGCTGCTTTAATCATCCTCCCCATCCCCAGTTCCTTGAATGTATGACTCATCCTTAATGCATGGTAATACCCAAGAGCTCAGATTTCATTGTCATCAAAATCTGGTTTTAAATCCTTACTCCAAATTATTAACACATCACTGAGTAAAAAATGCTTACTTTTCTGTGCCTCGGTTTCCTTATTCTTAAGAATTTAATAATCCCTACTTCGTTGTGTTTTTTATAAATTTCTTGAATTCTTTATTATTAATTTATAATCTTGCCATGCTGTGCTATCTGAAAGTTTTGATGTTTACTTTGTAAATTAATTTCAAATTGAATAAACGTGTTGTTTAATAAGGATGCATGTACAGAAAGACACACAAAGAGTTCCATTAAGTGGTAATACTTGAAAATACTTATTCTGCAGTTACATGGCCCATCTGGGAATGATGTATTTTCTTAAATAACAAACTGTCTTCCTACTTGAGTCTAATTTTGATGGGAGCATGTTACGTAATAGGCAGCAATCAGCTAATCTGCTCTGTTAATTTGGTAGTATAAAAAGATTCATATATAATGAATATTTGTGCTCTCAAAGATGCTTTTGTACACCCTGCCCTGCTTCTGCATGTATGCTGTTGTGGTGTTTAAGTGGGACTTTCTCCTGACAGTGTGTGTTAATAGCTAGAAAATTCCCTATCAGTAGACTAGCACCATCTTGACAAGCCTGTGTTCTGCTTCTACCTTGCTAATTGTTTCCTTGGGATTATTTGGATTGTGTAGAAAGGTTTTTGCAAATCCTCTTATTACTGAAGTCATTGTTGCCAGCAGGAATAAGATTAAAGGTGCTTAAGTCTGTAGAGTTGTTTCTAATTTGTATGTGTCATTTCAGTGGCATTTTAACAGAACTCTGTCTCCTGTTCCTCCCTTCTCCCCTGGTACTATCTTAAGTTAGGTCCAAGAAGCTAGGCCATTGGAAGAAATCTCATTTTATCCTCCTAATTATTATGCTGGCACTCAGGAGATAATTTTTCCCTTCATGCACTGCCAATTAATATGCAAATAGGCTGATAAATATTTATGCATCCATTTAAATTATGCGGGGAGTGCTTTCAGTGTATTCTGTAAATGAATTGTTCCTGGACTTCAAAGTGCTGGCTGCTGTGCTAACGAGGAGAGATTTGCATAAGGCCCTAATCACGCGCATACTGATTAAGCTTCATTATGGAAACTGCCAGCTGCAATCTTTGTTTCTATTTTATTACAAAAAGGGGAACTTTTCATGCTTCAGTTGCCTTGACAATGTCAGTCCTAGCTGGTAGGAGAGACTAAAACTCCTCTGAGCAACTGAAGTTTCCTTATTCAGTTGAAGATTGCTATGGTGTAACTGAAGTTGTATTTTGCTTCTTCTGTAATCCACTTTTCACTCCCTCCACCCTCGTTCTCTTCTCTAAGAACGTAGTACAGATTTGTTAGAAATAGTACCTTCTTTCCCCCACCTCAAACACTACCTGTTCCTTCTTGCTTTGGATTGTGTGCATCTCTTGAAGATTTCACAGCAATGCTGGACTGCAGTGACTATGTTCTAGGTGGGTACCAGCACAGTTCTTTTCTTAGAAGCTTTAATATGGAAATAGCATGTGTGGGATTGACTATGCATAAATGCTTAATCACATATGCAAGCAACATGGGGGAGGGGAGGGCTTGAGCAGGGAAGGAGGAAAGCATTTGCAAAGCACAAGCATGCTTGAGTTTGCTGTAGGTCCCTCTTTAGGACTAGCTCTTCTAGTTCAGAGGGTATTTTCAGTAAATACTGCGGGTTTAGAATTTGGCTTGCATGGAAGACATTTTTGCTTTTTGGAGATTTCTATGGAGAGTACGTTATGTAAACATTTAAAATCAGAAACAAAATATGCACAATATTTAGATAATATGTACATACTAATAAAATGGTTTGCATATCTAATAAGAATGTCTCATACAAAACTGAAATGCTCAGTGAAAAATAAGATGGTGTCATGGTACAGAATCCATCTCATTACTATTAATACATAGGGTAGTTATAGTGGTTGCTATACTATTGATCAATATCCAGATTTTAGAAGTTATTAGCCATCTTCAAACTTGGTGTAAGATTATTCATTTTGATTTCTTAAAATCAGCTACGTTCTTTAGAAAACTACAGTTTTAAGTATTAAAAAGCTTGTTTATAGTGTTTCCTACAGAACAGGAAGCCTTTTGGAAAGAAAGATGTCCTTGAATATATAAACCATCTTGAGCGCCTAAGACTTAAAATAGATTAAAGTTCTTTGGTTTAGCTGTATGACATGTCATGGTAGCCATATTTTGTGAGGAATTTTTACTGTTTATATACAGAATTATTGAAACCGTTTTAGGTTACTATAGTCACTAGGAAAGTCACATAATATTAACTCCAAGAGTTAGATTTCTTAAGCTTAAAAGTTTTGTAAATGACTTTTTCTTGTGTGTAATTTTTTGTGCTTGAAATTGAGGCAGTTGTTAGTGATAAAGTAAATTGATACTTCTGGAAATGTCTGAATTCTTTTACAGAAAGCATGGTCTAAACTCAACAGTAGGATTTGTAGCTCAGAGTAAAGCCTATTATCTAAGGATACATGTCATAAACAACAAATTGATGTCAGGAATCAACCTTAACAGTGACTTCTAGACTGCAAATCAGACTCAATATGTGGTCAGTTCAGTGGCATAGGCCTATGTTTTTTTCTATTACTCAATAAAACTGTAAATGTCAACGAAGAATTTACTTGTATTTTCTCTTTTACATTTACCAAGTTGGGAATTCAAGAAATGAAAGGAAAATGCATTTTTGAAGTATTTTTACCATTATTTTAGAGGTAGAGATTATGCCCATTACTTTCAATTGACAGGAAAATGCATTTTTGAAGTATTTTACCATTATTTTGGAGGTAGAAATTATGCCTATTACTTTCAATTGACAGTAAGTACCATTGAAAGTCTTACCATCTGTGTAATCAGAAATTTATTATTGTTTTGTGTTTGAAGTAATTTTGTTAAATGCTTTTGAAGTTCTTGACAGTTCAGTAAAAGATCCTTAGAAAATTCATGTAGAATACCTGTGACATAATTTTTAATTGATGTGGAAATTAGGCTATAAATTATGCGGGTCAGACTTAAGACTTGTTAAGAATTAAACTTCTTGGTTACTGTGATGTGCATGAGAAAACTGTTCATTCTTTTTTAATGTTAACTGAGTGTTTTTTCTTCTTTCCTTTAAAATACATTATAAAGAAAGTATTAAGCATGTATACTTAATGTTATTTTCTATTCAAGTTTTGTGAGATTTTAGTTAAGTCGTTCAGAAAGCTAATTTTCACTAAGTTGTACACCTGTTCCTTTCACACCTTGGTGTGCTTTCAGATGGTATTTAAGTTTCTCTGGGCTGTGGGGGAAGGAAGTTGTAGAACTACATCATTTATGACCACAAACATACAAATTTTAACCCTTTGAATAAGCCCAAAGACATGTTTGAACTGCCTAAATCAATAAGACATGTATCAGTTATAAAAATTTACTATTTTAGAAAAATTGTTTGTACCAGTTTCCAGGTTAGAAACAAAATTTATGAAAGAAGGGCTTCTGATTGTCTTCCTCATCCTTTGTACATGTGGGCAGTGAAACTATGGGCAATGTGGTTGGGACTCATAATGATTGTTCTGACTTCTCAGACATTTCCTGCAGTTGTAAAAAAAAAAGCCAAATGCAATGTAGTCTATTTGTTCTTTACTAATAACTTGGTTAAATGATTCTTAGAAAAGGCAGAACTTATTAAAGTTTGAAGTAAATGTAAAAATGTTTACTTATGTCTATTCTGTTTTCCCTTTTGAAGAAGTAGAACAGAGTTGTTTTTGTCTCCTTTCTTGCATATTTTCTGAGATTGCTGATAACAGAGTGACAAAAACCTTTTACTATGGAATCTATAACTGATTTCTCTAAAAGAAGTAAACCCAAATTAGCAGATTTGTTTGGAATATCAAGGTAGTATAGTTTTTATGTGGGTGTGGCTGTGATTCAATTTTGAAACTACTCGAGATATCTGTTAGGCCTTTTGGTATAATATTTTATGCTTTTTTGTGAGTTATGTATTTGAATATTCTCATCTGGACTCTTAGTTTGAACATGTTCAGGTTTTCTGTTCATCTGTTTATTAACAGTGGATTTGTTTTAGTTGTGATTAATGAATATCTTTGCTTTTAGAAAAAAGATTCATTTGGAAGTAATATTTCTTGCTTTTTGAGATGCTTCCTACTTCTTAGGATTTTGTTTTGTTTTGTTTTGTAAACATATTTTGTGTTACAAAGAATTTTATTTTTTTAGTATAGCAGACTCTTTTTTTTTTTTCTTTCTTTCTTTTTTTCTCCCACGGCTTAGAGTTCTCTCTTAGCAGAATCTTAAAATTCTTTAGGAAGCTAATTTTTTGTGGATATCTTTAAGGTTCAGGAGATCCTGAATTTCTTTCAGATAACTTTTTATTCCATTTGTAATGTTTTAGCCTGACACGTATGCATGGTCTTCTTGAACTGTATGACTAGAACACTAACTAACCCTTTCCTTTGCTACAGTTTTGCCTCCTTACCTTCATCTTTATTCTTAGTTTTTTAAACATCTTGTTGGCTTATTGCAGACTCAAGAATGAACAATCCGTCAGAAAACAATAAACCATCTATGGAGAGTGGAGATGGCAGCACAGGTAAGACAATTTCTCTGATCCAGCTTTTTTTTTTGGATCCAGCTTTTTAATTAGATCTTACCAACTGAAAGAAGAGACTTTCCTCTTAACTTGAACACATTTGGCAAATACAGAGTAATTTGTATATTGACTTGTGAAATATGATTTAGTACTTGTAGGAACTGGAATTATGTTTATTTAATATTCATTCTTCTGCAGATTGCTTCATCTTTCTGATTCCATCTATCAGAGAAACTACAAAGTAGTTTTGGAAATAGTCCTTTAGGACAGATAGTCCTGGGTCTGAATTATGAATTTGCCATTTAATAGCTGTGTGACTTTAGGCAATTTCCCCAGTCTTTTGGGGACTTAATTTATTCAGTTATATAATGAGGATATTTCATAGATTATTATGGGTATTGAACAAGAAAATATATGAAATGTTAAAGCATCATGGCAGCTACACAGGGAATCATTCTGTTAAAAGTTTCTCTTAGATGTTATAGTAAATGTTGTCAGCCCACATTTGATATAAATTATGTTAATGTCAGCAAAGAGATAACACACTTCTATTACATTTTTATTTCGCTTTTTAAAAATTTGCACTTGATTAAACCTTTTATCAAGAGAAAATTAATTATCATATAAATGAGAAAACTGAAGCCCCCTGAGAGAAAGGTAAAACTATAAAAAGTACAGTTTGTCTCCTCAGCCCATACTCACCAGTCAGTTACTCAGAAGACATTTGACAATATATTTCTTCATCTGCCAGAGATGGTACAAGGGTTTCCCCAGTTTCTATTGGAAGCATAAATCAAAATACTAAAAAATATTAAGGGAATTATGAGCGAGGATTCACAGAAAGCATTGTTAAGTAAACCAGGTTTTTTTACTTACAGAAAGGGTTCCCTCTCTGATTATCTTTTAAAAATATGCCTAACTATGGGAGATGGTAAGTATGACACTCACTCTTGAAACTCTTTTTCACCTGTACTGTTTATAGAACCTTTTTGTTTGTAGTTGAGGAATGAGTTGAACCTTGTCTCTCATTATAAAATGTCCTATATATTTGGAGTTGCTTCTTAAACTCTTAATTTCTAAAATGTAGGTACCTCTTGATGGGAAACTGAGCTGAGGTGTTCCCCCTCAGGTTTGTCAGGTTTGTCATAGTTAACATGTTCCTGCTTCTGTTATTGAGCCTAACCAAATAGTCTGCCATAGTGTGTCTTCCCTGAGGCAAAGAAGGGTAGCGTTTTCTTTTGGAGTTACCAACCAGCCTCCTTCCTGTTTCTATTCCCTGTTGGGGCCTCTCTTCTTTTATCTTATTACACTGGTACCTGTGCTGAAACAATAGGTACTTTGGCCATTGTTAAAGGGGTAGGAAAACTAGAGAAACTAGGTAGTCAATTCTGTGAAAAGGTAAGGGGAGAGTGAGCAGAGCACCCATGCCTAAAGAACAGCTTCCAAGAAGAGACATACTTCTCTCAGGGAAAGAAAGAAATTCACAGAATGATTAGAGAACACTGAAAATATTCACTACGTCTGACCCTTTGGGAATCTCTATATTTATACCATAGTTTCAGTAAGAACCATTTATTGAGTGCTGCAATATTTTAACAAAACCCTTGTCATGTTTTAAATCATGTTTTAAATATGCACTGTGCATATTACCTGATTCCAATTGAAATTCTTATGACAAGTTACATATTACTTCAAGGTCTAGGAAATTAAAACACACAACCAACAAGGAAATAAAGGCAAGTTTAAGTTAGCACCCTACATAGGTTTTTCTCATGCACTATAATAAAGTTGAAAATTTAGCAACATTTTGTAAATGTTTGTATTAGTTACTTTTGTTGCTGTGATTAGACACCATGACCAAGGCAACATAAGAAAGAATTTATTTGGCTTACAGTTCCAAAAGGGTAAGAGTCTATAATGGCAGCAGAGGTAGCCAGAACAGAAAGCTGAATGATCTTCAAGAAGGCACAGGAATCAGAGAGCAACTGGAAATCTGGCAAAGCTTAAAAACTCACAAAGCCCACCCCTAGTGACATACTTCCTCCAGCAGTGTCACATATCCTAAAACTTCTCAAAGCAACGCCACCACTGGGAACAAAATGTACAAATACTTGGAGCCTATGGGGGAACATTCTTATTCAAACCACCATAGTGTTCAAACCTAAAATCATTTACAGAGCTATGTAAGACAAATTCTATCTAGAGAACTTACTGAAAGTTTTGTGAATTTCTTGAGACTCCTTATCGTAGAGCTGAGAATTTTCTTAGATAGTTATCATTTAATGCTTTCAAAACCATGATTTGGGGGCCAAGAACAGGTGTTTTCCTAGACTTTACTTCTCCATCATCAGCAGTAGTAGTTAATATTCTTGTTCTCTACAAAGAGAGAAAATTGCTAGTTGCTTTTCTCTAAAAGGTACTGTTAATACAGCAACTATTTCAAATATGAGATGATCAGCCACCCTGTGAAGCTCACTTCCTGTTTGTCTACTGCAACAGACACTGTCTTGGTAAATCACCTCCACATGCACTGTGGCACCAGTGCATGTGCGTGCGTGTGCACACACACACACACAAACAGATAATCTAGCCCCAACTGATACATCTAAAAATGCAGCCCCTATACCTAAGGCTGTGGGAACATCATGGAAGATGATATAGAAAGATTGTAAGAGCCAAAGAACCAGGATGCCTGTTGCTAGATAGTGTTTTCCTGATATGACAGGGTATATGCACCCATAAAATCTCAGTGATATGATTGCCTAGAAATACTTACATAATGCCAACATGAACAGGAAAAATTCCACAAGATTATACCTCTAGATGAAGATCCAATAGACAATTAATAATGACTGCCAACACAGGAAGAATCAGTTTTCTCTAGGAATGAGCTCCCTTAATTGTTCATACAATTTCGAGTGATCAACCCTAAACACATGCACATACAAGCAACACTAAAGGACTCTGTAGGTTGTTTATCTATATATACACATGTGTGTGTGTATATATACAACAATAATAATTAAAGAAAGGGTCAGGATACTGTGGTGGAGTTGGAAGAGGGAGGGAGACAGGGAAGAAATGATATAAATGTAGTATTCATGAAATTCTCAAAAAAATCTTTAAATTAAAACATATATATGTGATCCATGAGAATTCAATGTAGGGGAGAAATTTTTGTAGTTAGAAGGGACAGAAAATAGAGATTACACTGTCCATTGAAGAGTGGGTAGCATTTAAACATGAAGGTGATTGACAGTGCACATTCAGCATAAAGAAGCAATAAAAGCTAAAACAGGGAGGAAGAGAGGTGTACTGAGTATCTCTGATTGCTTTAGAAATATTTGGTATATGATTTAGTCATCCTCAGAATTACAGTAGTCCAGTTTTTTAAACCTTAATGTAGCCATTACCAGTGGCTTACTAGAATTATTTTTATAACCAATGAAGGTTTTAAAAATAGATATTTAAATAAAAATTTTAATATAAACTTAATTATTTGGATAATATTTGATTTGAAATATTAAAACTTTTTTAAGGCAGTAGGCTCATATGTTCATTGAATTTGTAGCCAATTAACTATCTTTTTTATTTGAATTATGATCGATCCAAAACTCCCCTATCCTGTCTTGTGCATGTATATGTTTGGTGTATACATGTGAGTGTGTATACAAAGGCCAGAGCAAAGCATTAGATATCTTCCTTTGTGGGCTCTCTACCTTACTGCCTTGAGAAAAGTCTCTCATTGAACTGGAAGCTTGCCATTGGGCTAGACTGGCTAGCCAGAGAACCCTTCAGAGCCACCTGTCTCTACCACTCAGTGTTGGGTTTACAGGCATGCATAGTCATACCTGGCTTTGATTGTACATGGATGCTGGGGGATTCAAACTCACGTCCTTGAACTTGCACCTTTACCTACTGAGTCATCTCCCTAGTCCCTTGACTCATCCTTTTTTGCTTCATTCTTTTTAGTCACATGACTTTGCATATGACAATATTAAGGTCTTTATGGCAAACGTAAAAGCCAAAGAGGTTTATCAATGCAAATCAGTGTACATTTATGAAGCAGCAGTCCAAAAAATATTATGAAAAGTTCCTGATAACAAGTGATTTCTTCTCTCTGTGATATTTACAAGTGCTGTAACTGGTAACAGAAAATTATGTTGATAAAGAAGGATAACCAAAAGCCAAGTATGGTGGCACACACCTTTAGTCCCAGCACTCAGGAGGCAGAGGCAGGCAGATCTCTGTGAAACTGGGACCAGCCTAATCTACATAGCGAATCCAGGCCAGCTGGGGCTATAGGGAGACCCTTGTCTCAAAAAGACTCAAAACAAAAAAAACGAAAGAAGGATTAGCAGACATCATTTTCTGCAACATTAAAGAAAAAAGATACTGAAAGATCAAGACAGTAGTGGATATAATTGCTGTTCTTCATAGTAATTTAAGAGCTAGATGCCTTCAGCCTACGGTTTAGAAACATTGCCAGATGAAAATCTCAACACACTAAAGTTAGTGCATTTACAGGTTTCAGTTCTGAACTGTGTTTCCTTTGAACTTTCTATGTATTGGATATTTCTAATCTTATTTGTTTTATGGTTATGTTTACTATATATTTTACTGTATAGACTACATTCTGCATTAGCAGGGATGCTGCTACAAGTCTGAAAGTAGAAACTTCAATACTAGTATTTCCTGGAGTGCTTTCATAGTGAAGTTTTAAATAGTGGGTAATTCCATGGGTTAATGAAAGTGGCTGAAGTGTTCTCAGCCTTGGGAGTTAAGCATGTGGTCTAGAATTAGGCATCAAACACCTGTGGGAGAAAAGTAGACCTTCCTGTAGTGCTTGATTTGGTAGATGTCACTTAGAAGATTGTTCATAAGAGATTCTGACCACTACGTATTGAGAAACTTGCCTTGGTCCTACCTATGGTCTACCGAAGATTCTTTTTTAAGTGTGGGAGGGGCAAAGGAGCTGTAATGACTAAACCTGAAAGAAT